TAAAAGAGAACTACCTCAACATAATAAAAGCCATATATTCAAACCTACATCAAACAACATACTCCATGGTAAAAGACTGAAAAATTTCCCTCTAAGATTAGGGGCAAGGTAAGAATATCCACTTTTGCCACTACTATTCAGCATATTACTAGAAACTGAAGAAAGAAGGAGGAAGAGGAGGGGGAAGAAGAAAGAAGAGGGGGAAGAAGAGGAGAAAGAAAAGGAAAAGGAAGAAAGAGAAAGAGGAAGGAAGGATGGGGAAACAGGAAAAAAAAAAAAAGACATCCAAACTGAAGAAGAAGAAGTAAAATTATCTCAGTTCACAGATAACAGAATATAATATGTAGAAAACCCTAGAGTCTACAAAAAATGTTTAGAACTAATAAAAGAATTCAGCAAAGTAGCAAGATACAAAGTTAGCTAACAAAAACAATTTGCATTTCTTTTTTTCCCCATAATCTTTTTTTTTTTAAGTGGAAGTCTCAATCTGTCACCCACACTGAAGTGCAGTGGCATGCTCACGGCAACTGCAGCCTCAACCTGCTGAGCTCAGGTGATCCTTCCATCTCAGCCTTCCAAGTAGCTGAAACCATAGGTGCATGCCACCATGCCCAGCTAATTTTTTGATTTACTGTAGATATGAGGTCTCGCCAGGCTGGTCTGAACTCCTGGGCTTAGACAATCCTCTCACCTCTGCCTACCAAAGTGCTGGGATTACAGATGTGAGCCACAATGCCCAGCTATTAATTTGTATTTTTATATATTAACAATGAACAATCTGAAAAGGAAATTTCAAAACCAACTCCATTTATATTTATGATGGCATCAAAAAGAATAAAATACGGCTGGGCGTGCTGGCTCACACCTATAATCCCAGCACTTTGGGAGGCTGAGGTGAGAAGATTGCCTGAGCCCACAGGTTCAAGACCAGCCTGAGCAACTTGGCGAGACCTCATCTCTACAATAAATCAAAAAATTAGCAGGGCGTGGTAGCGTGTGCCTGGAGTTCTAGCTACTTGGAAGGCTGAGGCAGAAAGATCACTTGAGTCCAGCAGGTCAAGGCTGTGGCTGTGAGCGTGCCACTGCATACCAGCCTGTGCAAAACAGCGAGAATCCAACTCAAAAAAAAAAAAGGTAAAAGACTTGTACAATAAATTAAAATAAGCCGAGTTCGGTGGCTCAGCATGTAATCCTGTGCTTTGGGAGGCTGAGGTGAGTGGAGTGCCTGAGCCTGCGGGTTCGAGACATGCCTGGGCAAGTTGGTGAGACCTCATCTCTACAATAAACCAAAAAATTAGCCGGGCGTGGTAGCGGGGGCCTGTAGTTCCAGCTACTTGGAAGGCTGAGGCGGAAGGATCGCCGGAGCCCAGTAGGTTGAGGCTGCGGTGGCCGGGAGCGGCCACTGCACTCCAGTCTGAGCAACACAGTGAGACTCTAAAACAAAAACAATTAAAATTAAAATTGCTGAAAAAAATTAATACAGGTCAGGCTCGGTGGCTCAGCCTGTAATCCCAGTATTTTGGGAAGCTGAGTGGATTACCTGAGCCCGTACGTTCCAGACCAGCCTGGGCAACTTGGAGAGACCTCGTCTCTACAATACATAAAAACATCAGCCAGGTGTGGTAGTGCACGTCTGTAGTTCCAGCTATTTTAAAGGCTGGGGTGGAAGGATCACCAGAGCTCAGCAGGTCGACAGTGGGGTGGCCGTGAGTGTGCCACTGCACTCCAGCCTGGGCAACAGAGTGAGACTAAAACTAAAAAAAAAAAAAGAAAAGAAAGAAATTAATACATAATTAAGTTCATGGATTAAGTACTACCCAAAGTGAGCTACAGATTCATATGCAATCCATATCAAAATCCCAATGATTTTTTTTTTTTTTAATTGGAGTCTCACTCTGTCGCCCAGACTGGAGTGCAGTGGCCG